CCTCTGTCCTGGAGTTAATTACCAAGTAACTCAATTAACTCCAGGACAAGGACAGTCGCCATTTTAAACATAAAATAATAAAAGACATAAAAATGCATAACTACATGAAAACTGAACATTTCCCATTCGTATTACATGTCCCCAGATAGCCTGGATCTGAGTGCATATTATTAGCGAATAGCGCTCAGATCCCACACATAGTTCAATCGCCATGGAGGCAAAGTTCTTACAGTCTTTCGGTATACGAATGACTCCATGGGAGGGCTATCTGGGTTAAGTCTTTTGTATGCTCTCAATCTCCCGAACGGCCGGTGTTCGCATGCTTTCGTGGAGGCAGCCAGGCGTTCCCTTGTTTCAGCGGTGTTCGGCAGAAAGTGTCCGTTTTCAGTTCCATAGAAATAGAGCCAAACACCGCTGAGCGTTCGCATGATTTAAAATGGCCGCTGCCTCGTGGTCGACATACGAACAACGACCACCCTGAGTTCGGTTTAATTGAGAAGTGTCTGCGGTTAACCACAACGTTATAATGGTGATCACTTCGTTAACCTGCAGCACACTCCTCACTTGGGTGGCTGTTCGTTCGGCAGATTTGTTCGGGAAAAAGAGTCATTCGAATGGCTGGGCTATAGAAACCAGCCATTCATACGAACGGGGACAAACAGACGAACGGGCAAAAATCCAGCAGACAGATGGTTCTGTCACACTTCCTGTACCACTGCTTGAAGAAGGTGTCTTCCAGGAACTGGCAGTAGGACTGGGAGTTGAGCTTGACTCCATCCTCAACCCCAAAAGGCCCCACAAGCTCATCTTTGATGATACCAGCCCAAACCAGTACTCCACCTCCACCTTGCTGGCGTCTGAGTCGGACTGGAGCTTTCTGCCCTTTACCAATCCAGCCACGGGCCCATCCATCTGGCCCATCAAGACTCACTCTCATTTCATCAGTCCATAAAACCTTAGAAAATCAGTCTTGAGATATTTCTTGGCCCAGTCTTGACGTTTCAGCTTGTGTGTCTTGTTCAGTGGTGGTCGTCTTTCAGCCTTTCTTACCTTGGCCATGTCTCTGAGTATTGCACACCTTGTGCTTTTGGCACTCCAGTGATGTTGCAGCTTTGAAATATGGCTGCAAACTGGTGGCAAAGTGGCATCGCAGGCAGCTGCACGCTTTGACTTTTCTCAGTTCATGGGCAGTTATTTTATGCTTCTTTTGGTTTTTCCACACGCTTAAGTAATTCCCTGTGGACTATTTTTGAATGAAACGCTATCAAGTGCCCCACACTTGCTTTGCAATTTTAAGAGTGCTGCATCCCTCTGCAAGATATCCCTACTATTTTTGACTTTTCTGAGCCTGTCAAGTCCTTCTTTTGGACCTATTTTGCCAAAGGAAAGGGAAGGTTTAATAATTATGTATTAATCTTGATATAGGGTGTTGATGTCATTAGACCACACCCCTTCTCATTACAGAGATGCACATCACCTAATATGCTTAATTGGTAGTAGGCTTTCGAGCCTATACAGCTTGGAGTAAGACAACATGCATAAAGAGGATGATGTGGTCAAAATACTAATTTGCCTAATAATTCTGCACTCCCTGTATACTTCTTCCCTGACGGGCTGGGTTTTGCTAGGGGTCCGATTATATCTACTGCCACTCTACTGAAGGGTTCATCTATTATGGGTAGGGAGTGCATTTTTGCCTTGTACCGGTCCCCTCTCTTCCCTACTCTCTGGCATGTGTCACAAGTTTGGCAATACTGCCGAATATCTTTGGAGACCCCTGGCCAAAAGAAGTTTTGGGTCAAACGATGCTTCGTCCTACTGACGCCTAGATGTCCTGATAAAGGGATGTCATGGGCAATACGTAGTAATTCTTGCCTGTACTTTCGGGGCATGACTAATTGTGTGAGGGTCATGGGTACAGATCCTGCTACTACCTTCTCAGCATATCTATACAATAATCCTTTCTCCCAAGCGTATCTTTCCCCCTCCTGCTTGATTCTGTGTAACCCTATCCTGGTATACCTGCATGGACGGGTCAGTGACTACTTCAGTACCAAATTCTAAGGGGGGAGCCCAGGGGACAAAAGGTGGGTCAGTACTGTTACTTACCGGAGCCTCAGAGTGTTCAGAAGATGCGGTGGTGCGGGCCTGCTGCCGTGTTACCACGGGTAGCGCTTCCTGCGCGGGGTGCTGAGAAACAAAAGCAGAGGTCAGCTCCCCCAAGTCATTACCCAGGATGACATCAGCTGGTAAGTCCTGCATGAGGCCCACTTCCACATTCCCCGACCCCGCTCCCCAATCCAAATGTACTTTAGCAGTGGGAATTTTGTAAATCGCTCCCCCTGCCACCCGGACTGCCACATATTCTCCAGTGAGCTGGTGCTTGGGGACTAGGTGACTGCGAACCAGGGTTATGGTGGCCCCAGAATCGCGCAGACCCTGAAGGCGTTTTCCCTCTACGTGTACCCCTTGGCGGTGTCCCTGTCGGTTGTCTGCAGCTGCTTGTACTGGGTTAACCTCGTGGAGGGTGCCCAAAGATTCTTCATTAGACCGGGTCCCGAAGAAAGGTTGTCGAGGCTCAATCTGGTAGCAGTGTACTGCTGCCCGGTTTGCAGGGGAATTAGTTGGAGTATTCCACGTGGAGCGGTTTCTGTTTCTGGGACAGTCTCTCTGCATGTGGCCCTGCTGGTTACACGTGTGGCACCTGATGAAAGATCGGGCATTGTTGTACCGCGGAGGGGTTTGGTAGTTCCCACCACCCGGACGCAGTGCTGGGGTGGGGTTAATGGTGGGAGGTGGGTTAGCAGCTCCCAAGATGGACCGTGCCTGTGCCCGCTGTGCCCTCCTGGCATCTTGGTACTCGTCTGCCCACCTGGCGGCGTCAGTTAAGATGCGCGGTTTCCGATCCCTCAGCCAGTTTTGTAAATCCGGGATTAACCCCTGGAAGAATTGCTCCAGTAGCAGTAATTGTAGCATGTCCTCCACTGTGGTTGCTTGTGCGGCTTGCACCCAACCTTTGCCAGCCCTAGTTAAGCGGTGTGCCCACTCCATGTGAGTATCTTTCTCCGTCTTTCGGCTTTCTCGGAACCGCTGCCGGTATGCCTCCGGGGTAATTGCATACCTGTCCAGGATCGCCTGCTTTACTTTCTGGTAGTCTCTGCTATCCTCGTCTGGCATGGTGCAGTAGGCTTCTGCTGCCCGGCCCGCTAGTTTACCCACCAACAGGGGTACCTGGTCGGCGGCGTTGATCTCATGTAATTGGCATAACCTCTCAAAGTCATGCAAGTAGCCATCGATGTCTTCGGTCTCCACATAGTTTTTAAAAGCATGGTACGGGATTTTAGGCTTCCCCGGTACTATGTGTGGTGTGATTAGGGACCCCTCTCTGGACCTCCGGTCTGCCCGCTGCTTTTCCATTATGTATTCGTGGACATCTGCCATAATCCTTTCCAAGGTTTCTGTGGGAGGCGTACCTGGGAAAAAGGCCAGTCTGCTTTGGAGTTCTCTTCCAAACTCATTCTGTGTGCTGTCCATAAGAGGTGCTGCAGCAGCTGCCCGGTCTCCCTCCATGAGTTCAGCAATAAGGGTAGCTTTGGCTTTATTGCTGGCAATAATTCCCCTTGCTTCCAATAGCTCTTTTAGCGTGGCCCGTTTCAAGTTGGTATAGTCTGTCCCCATTCACTATCCGTTCGGGTATATTCACATACCCTTTCCTTTCGGTTCCATACGAAATAGCAAATTTCCCAAATGGCTGTAACTGCCGAACAACGGTCTGCTGTGAGGTTTGAATCCCGTCGCTGCCACCAATTGTGACGGACCCGCTGGCACTCCGAGTACCTCCGCCAATCGATGCTCCTAGTGCTTGCCGAGGACTTCAAGCACTCCAACCGACACCATCAGCACTGCAGACTTATCCCATCCCCCAAGCATGAGCCAAGGCTTCAAGAAAGGGTCAAGCAGGTCTGTTTAATGAGCACACAAAGCAACAGCACTCATGCAGCAAAACAACTCCTCCTCAGAGGAAAACAAACTGACAGTTAAAGACAGACAGCGTTTGAAAATATGACAGTTATTAAGGGTTTTTAAACTGGTGTTCTAGGAGGGAGGGGAATAAAACAGTCAAACTAAGTCCATAAAACAGGGCCCTTCCTCACACTCTGCATCCGAAGTGCAGAGCAAAACTGCAGATCCTTTGTCAGAGCATTTAAAGGGCCAGAACCAGTCTAATAAAATTCACTATGCTCAAATAACATACAGTTCAAATACAGGCAATAATCAATGCAAAAGTCTCTTGTGGCTGCTTCTGCCACACACACACTGTATCCCTCACACTCACACAGTGTATCCCTCACACACACACACACTGTATCACTCACACACACACACTGTATCCCTCACACACACA